AAGTATAGATGAAATAATGAAAGCAATGAAAAGTATGAAAGCGGGTAAGGCAGCCGGTTATGATAGAGTATCTCTCGAAATGCTAAGGGCTGGAGAAGGAGTGGTGGCAGACCTGCTGTACACCTTGTTTAATTTATGTTGGGAACTTAAGCGGGTACCGGGAGACTGGTGCAAAGCCGTGATAGTCCCAATATATAAGGGAAAAGGATCACAGCAGGACTGTAAAAACTACCGTGGTATCAGCCTTCTTAGCATTGTGGGAAAACTGTATGCTAAGGTACTAACTGAAAGAGTTATGAAAGAAACTGACGGAAAAATTTGGAATGTGCAAGCGGGATTTAGAAAGGGAATGGGATGTACGGATCAGGTCTTTTCCATGCGCATGATCGCCGAGAAGTTTTTGGCCAAAAACCAAAAAGTTTTTTGTGCGTTCATGGACTTGGAGAAGGCTTATAACAGAGTGGACAGGGATGTGTTATGGCAAACACTGAACTCATTTGGGTTGAGCGCTGGTCTGATACTGGCAGTCTCTATATAGGGACTCTAGTGCTTGTGTCAGGATCAACGGGGCCTACTCGGACTGGTTTGACATCCATAAAGGTGTCAGACAGGGCTATGTGGCTTCCCCGTGGTTGTTCAACCTATTTATGGACAGTTGTTTGGATAATTTGAAAGTAGAAGAATGCGGGTTAAGAATGGGTGAGTTAACCGTCAAATGCCTTTTGTACGCCGATGATCAAGTCATACTTGCGTCGTCGGCAGCCGAGTTGCAAATGATGGTTACATTAATGAACAGGACATTAAAAGAAAAGGGAATGAAAGTGAACGCAAGTAAGACGAAAGTTATGGTTTTTTTATACCTACATATGGTTGTGGAGGAAGCGAGAGAGGTGTGTCAGGATCGTGCCAAATGGAAGTCCATAATCTCTGCCTACCCCTCTGGGTGACAGGCGCGAGTGTTTATTAATTTTATTTTTAAGGATGAAAAGTGATACGTATTATTATACCATTTTGAAATCTAGAATAAATGGACCGTCTGTTGAAGTAACTTCCCTAGCGCAGTACAGTATTTTCTTTTAATGAAGAGTCAAACTTAAGTGATCTTATTTTTTCAACTAAGACTTAAAGAAACTACGTTAATTTTAACTAACCAGCAACTTGTTTTTCGTTTGATTTGTGGATTATTAATAGCACGTATATTTAAGACCACGTTAGTAAAAATATCACTGTAAAATTGGTTGCCCGCTTGGCGTAGAGTTTCGGGACACGTACTCGTATAAGCTAGTATGTATGTGGTTGTAACCACGAAATTTACAGAACTGTAATAAAATTTTGTGAGTTTATAAACTACATTATTTTTAGCTTACGCATGCATGTATTCAGCGATGACGACGGCATATTATACTGTACACATGGCTGTCGTGCATCTTTTTTAGTGATCTCTTTAGTACTATGTGTATATTTACATAATGTTAGACACTTAGAAAAAAGAAAAGAATTATGTACCCATCAAATTATACAACAAAAACTAGAAACTATATAATTCTGTTTTGTCCTTATGTCTAAAGAGTATCAGGCCGAATTAAGTAAAAACTAATGAAGTTTAAATATGAATTTTTATTTTTTTATTTTCGATTGTTTATCACTGACAAAATGATTTATCATTTGATAAACTATTGTATGATTAGTTTAAGGCATGTAAGAAATTGGCCAATTACTCATTCTCTATATTTAAATCAAATTGAAATGCATCATTATTAATAACTGACGGTTCGCCAAGTCTTAACAATTAACGTGCTATATGCTCAATGATCTGTTTAACAAATCTCTTAATCAACTCTGTAAATAATTCTTAAATTACAGAGTCTTTTGAAACACTCTTAGTTACACAACTGTTCCAGACCTTGGTATTTTATAGTTAGGAAGCTTGTAGCAATTTGGGCATACTTCCTAGCTGTTGATAATATCTACTTATTCACATAATAGAAAAGATCAGACACCTCAAAACGCGCTTTTTTAAATATAATGTTTCTTCGATTTTTTTAACGATGTGATTAGATTTTGTATAATAAAATTTGTAGTAATTTTATCATATATCAGCCATATGTCAAATCGCCTTTTTTAGTAAAATATTTTTTAAGATGTTCGTTGCATAATAATTAGGTAAATGATAATAAATTCTGACTTCCACTACTATCTCACTTTAAAGTTTATGCTATTCAAGATGAATATATACGTATTCAGGCAGACAGGACAATTACAGCCGTTATTTTTCGCCAAAATCTTTGAAATGTTGTTATTTCCAAACTAAAAATTGAAAGCATAAATTGCTTATATATTAAAACTTACTAAAATCTAACTAATTTAGTAAGTTTTAATATAGCTTATGTTATCTGCCGAACTATTAAATCATTTCAAAGTTTCTGCCATCAGCTCTCTGACTATGAGAGTATTCTAAACAAATCAGTATTTGGGTCAGCAGTATTCTGAACGAGAATCTGTAAACTTGAAAATAGATTTTATTTTCGTCGGTCAAAGACAAAAATCTCCGCCACATGTTTCTGCAATTTAGCACATATGCTTTACTATTTGACTTACGCTTTTTCAACAGTATATATTTATGGCGATATACTATATAATAGATTTTATTTTCACTATTTCTAATATTTGTAATTGTACCTATAGGTGTGTAGATATTTTGAATGAAATTGAAACAAAGTATGATGATTGGTTGCTGAAGGCGCGGATATTTTGGGAACGACTCCACTATACCTGTGCAGTTATGACGAATGTACATGGTGAAGCAGTGTGGTCGTCAGTACCTACGCGTGCCAATTGGGAAGGCAACTTTTAGCTGATTGACAACTGGTGGTCGATAATAATAGCCCGTGTGTAATCTCTATTTTAAAACTTGCTTTTACACGATCGCCAGGACGAAAGTCCTTGCGTCATCAGCGATTGGCGACAATGTGTAACGACCGCAACAGTCTTTGTGGTTTTGTTATATTTACAGGTGATGATTTCTTCACGTGCTCGTGTGGATATTGCCCTCTCGCCTTATTACTACTGTGCGACACTGGCATCTCTTTCGCACAACTTATGGACTTGTGTTTAGTGTGGGCGTCGACAATATTTTCACACCGCATAGATTTATAAGACTCGAAAAACATCCAGTTTGTTCTCATGGCGCGCGGCGGCCGCTTGTCGTCTTCTTTCTCGTGTCGTATTGTGTTGTAGTGTGATGTGACCGGAGATGAGTCGAAACCAGGACAGATATTCGTCTAGACCAAGGAGTCTTAACTCTAGCTATGGCTCTTCACCGAGCGTTTTTGGCTCGATGTTTAGTAGCCAATATAGCCCCTACACAAACAATTATTCGAATTCTTATAGTTCTAACGCATACAGAAACTACAATCCCTATACGGTTGGGTTAAGGCGGCCTAATTTAGGCATTTATGGTGGTACCAGTTCAGGCTATGGCGGAGTGTATTTGAGTGGAGCTACGTTAGGTTCTTTAAATTTAATGACACCTTTGTTAAAAAAGTTAGATAAAAAGATATTAGCGAGTCAAAAAAACTTTAAGCCTAAGCCAGTTCCACCCGCGAAAGTGCAAGAAACGCCGACGGTTGCGGAAGTGATACAGGAGCCGGAAACGTCGGAATTACCTCCTGTGAGACCGGAGAGGAAATCCCGATCAGGAAATAGGAGCGGCGGTCTCAACAAGGAGCGATCACGGTCGCTTACCTCTCTAGACTCAGTTGCAACGTTAAATCGTTCATTGAGTCTCAACTCACTTGCTTCAGATGGTTATTGTGTATGTTTATATTGATATCGTTATTTTTATCGGCGCATTTCAATATAATCTTATTTTATTTAAAAATTATTTTTGCATCAAATCCTGATTATAATAATTTTTAATATTGCATTTGTCTGCGTGATATTGTCATATGTAGGTGTATCAATAATTTCAGAGGTTTATATTTTAACTTTAGTTTTTTTTAGTGCGAATTGAATAATTCAATGTTTAATGTTTTTCACGTATTGATAGCTTACCCAAATTAGACATCGTAGTGGAAGGATTAAGCAAAAAGAAACGCAAATTTCAGTACTCCAACCAGGTAGTTAAAGCTCATTCACACATTAATTATATTCCATATAAAGTTTCTTGAGATGAAACCTTAGTTTGAAAAGGGCGTTGTATTGTACGTTTACAATTGAGTAATGTATTTTTCTTTATGAATTAATTTGTAAAGATTGTCTCTTAAACCTTTGGCTTTATTATACAAACTAGCTGACACTCGCGACTTCGTCCCCGTTCCTTGATATATTAACAAAGAAAACACAGAAGAAAAACACAACAGAACACGTAGTGCTTATAAAGATCGATGTTTCTTAAAACTTTAATAACCTTATATTAAAGGAAGATATCGCAATATTTTTTTTTAGATAAGGGCCAAGTGTCTAAGAAATAACACTTAGAAAAGCTAATTGAAATTAGAAGTTTTTCCGTGATGCCCCCACTATTGCAAACTTGTATCATTTTATTTATATACATAATAAGGTTGTAATGGTTTATTTGACATATTGGCTAATAAATGGAAACAATATATAATTTTAATTCCCCACTTTTAGAAGTCTCTTTAAACTATTAAGAAAGAAACAGAAAAAGATCTTTTATTTGGCACATACATATAACAAAGAAAAAATAGAGAGAAAAAAGTCTTTTCATATTAACAAAAATAAAAAGAATATAACTTATTATGCACCAAAATGGTCTCCACACAGCTTTAAGCCTCGGATTAAAGATAGACAACAGATAGACAATTCACAACATTGATTTTCAGTGGAGTCACGTTATAAGATGGTTATTTGGCTATAAAAGCTAGGATATTACACTATAAGTCTTAGAGTATTATTTCAAGGAATTAAAGAATCTAATACTAACTGCGAATGTTTTTTGTCATTAATTGATTTATAGGCGACTTAATTTTATATTACAGTCTGGCAGCGAAAGGACGGAAGATGGGGATGAAAAAGACTACAAAGCACTCTACGAAGCGTCACAAAGTGAAGTACGCCGCCTTAGAGCCTTACTTGCCACTTCCGAACAACAACTGCGAGAGGCGCGCGCGACTATCACTAGGCTTTCACAAGTGGTATGAATGATACTGTATATTATGTATGTATATTTACACACACACACACACACACACACACACACACACACACACACACACACACACACACACACACACACACACACACACACACACATATATATATATATATATATATATATATATATATATATATTGTAATAATTATTATTGATTATGTTTATATATATGTCGGAAATACTTTAAGAAGTTATTGTTAAAAATAACAATAGAGCGGACGTTCAACCGTTTACTTAACTAATCATTTTTTGTTCAGTGTAGCATAGTACATAAAGACCAACACCACCCATCTCGACGTGATACACTTTCTCTTGGAAAGTAATTCTTCTGTGATTACTACTTATGTCTTTACTTATACCAGCAGAATTATTACCACGGACAGAATAACAAGTCGCAGGCTAACTGATCACTTACACGGACACCGAGCACGACGACTGCGAGGATCATTATTAGGGTTTTCGAGATCTACCCTCAGTTCTATTTATCTCCTTTTATCCTCTACCCTCTATCTGATACGGCCATCCTGATAAGTAACATCCTCGTATTACGTTTGTAATGTAGCTAAACCCATGAAAGCAGAAATAGTGAATCATTAGTAAAAGTATTTCGCTTTGGCCTTTCCTGACCTTGCAACATACCCATCTTAATGGGCACTTTGCTTTTAAATAACTTTCTTATGAACCCTTACGCTGTTTATTAACTTATTCTCCTCAATAGCCTCCACATTCAATATTCACTAGTCTCAAGATAACCGATTGAATGAATTAGACAAAATCACCGAGTACTTCACTTGCGTGAACTTTATACTGTACAAACGAGAGGGGCTCTCAATTTATTTATCACTTTTTATCTTCTACTTACTATTTCTGACATATATACATATACAGTTATTTAAAAATAACTAGTAATTTATTAATGAGCGAGAGCTGGCGATTATCATATCTTATATTTTGTGTCAGTGGAATTTAGTTACTAAGTTTTTTTTAAATCTATATTGCGATGTGTTTTTCTGCAACGTTCAGTAGTAAACTTTTTAAGATAATAACTACCATATTTATGTAAATAAATAAATTGCATTTCATGAGACTTCCCTATATTTACATCGAATATTAAATACTATATCAGATGTTGCACATGTGATTCTTTTATTTAAAGAGTGTCATGATTAGCGGAGCTTTAACTAGTTATGTATAAAAATGTTCAATTTATTTGTTGCGAAGTTTTTATACCAGTGTTTAATGAAAATACAAATGCCAACCTAAGTCCTTGTAGCAATTATGTGTATTACAATCCCAATAATTAAAGTGAAAGTTTGAATCATATTCTTTTGTCGCTGGCGCTCATGTTACTATAAACCAACAGTAAAATGAATATCGGTGTTGCGACAGTATATAGTTATAACTCCTTTTGGAATTACCGCATGAATTTGTAATGTCAAAGATTTCAATATTTTAAAGTTGTATGCAGTTCTAAATGAAATTACTATAAATTAATCAAAATTTAATTATCATATAATTGATTTTAAGCTATTTATTTATTTACCGTGTAGTGGCAATGTAAGAATTTTCACTACCCCATCCATATCTTCCAGTAGGTTTCTTAACATGCGATAGAGGGAAACAAACCGAGCGATGTGTAGCAGTGACTTCCAAATAAGAACAAAAAAAAATTATAAAAACTGCTGTTGGCAACCTGCACACCATGCTTGGTAACTATGGCAAACATTCACCTAATGAGTCAATTTTTGGGCTAAGTTTAGTTTCAGCAGTGGACTTATGAAAGACTATAACGGTAACGGTAATTATTTATGTTTACTTCTTATGTTTTAAACATGTATTTATAATGTTGTGATTCCTCCGTTTGATGTTCATTGTATAAAAATATTGCGGTTTGTGTGAAAAGTAATATATATTTCTTTTCATTGTAGGATGTAACAAACAGGGTTGACTTTTGGCGCATTTCACGACCGTGACACTTTTGTAGTGTTGAACATAATCATGTAACAGATGTGACCCTATTTTAAAACATTTGACTAATCTCCGCCCACCGGTTACCACTAATTATGTACGCATTTGCGTGTTGACAGATTGGCGCAAGTTTTGGCTTCAAACGTCTATCTAGTCATTATAGTGCTAATGGCGTTTTGTGGCACTATAAATCATATTTTATAATAATTGAAATGTATAACTTTCTTATGAGACTGCGATATTTTGCGTAGCGAAATCATTTTTGTCGCCCATCAGAGAAGACTACAAAGTTTTATGCGATCATTTCAGAATCAAAACTCGCTGTCTGAAATCGACAAGAGAGAAAAACGGGCCATGGAGCGAAAATTGTCCGAGATGGAAGAAGAATTAAAGGTATTATCACGAAGTTAACTTTCTTTGCTACAGAAACACATACAACAAAAACACAAATTTATTTTCTCATTTTAAATAACCAAATTGTGTACCAGCTTTATAGTTTTGTTTTGCTAAATGTTGCGGACGTCAAGATGGCGCCACCTTCGCCGCCCTCATTGGGATGACGAGTTGTAATGTTGGTGTTCGTTTTGTAGCAATTGCAAAAACTAAAAGCCGAGAACGAAAGGCTGAGAGCTGAGAACCGTGCCCTAACGCGGGTCGTGAGCAAATTGACCAACTCTGCATCGAAATAGGTAAACTGTGTTGGATTGAGCATTCGCTCAGTGGAGACGCGCGGTGTGCTCACGGGTACTGGCTATTTTTTTTTCTTTTCTTCTAAAGGTATCATTGTCAACAAGATAAAAATAAAAAGTTTTATTGAATTCAATGATGTTACGAATATAGGTAACTATAAAAATTGATATTAATAAACAGTAATCATTGACCAATGGAAAACAAAGTTAAAATATGTCATAATACATTTAATAGTGTTTCAATTTTTGGTATCACTTTAGAAAAAGGGCATAAATTACAGAAATATATTTCGGGATTATTTGTTAGCCACGCCCGTAGACCGCATCACTTGCGTCCCGTATCCCCCCACCTGCCGCGACTGTTTCCTCCAGCATCACTCTCCACTGATGAATTAACCGTGTGCCGCGAGTCTGCTTTGTTCCGTGCCTAACTACGCCTTCGCGACTTAACTGGCGTAGCCGGTCCGCTGCCTTGTGCCTCTCCAGATAATCTTGTTATGCGACCCGGTTTTTTTAAAATTTAAAATCACCTTTTAAAATTACACATTTATACAAATCTATAACGGGCTGTCTACGTCTTATTCTTACATAAATCGAGTAATTGGTATAAATCAAAAACTGTTTTGGTTCTTATGATAATTAAGTTGGTTCTCATTGCCACTATCTGCAATATAATCTGGTCTATTATAAACTAAAGCTATGGTCGAATAAGTTCATAATTGAAAAGACTTTTAACATTAGAATCAAGTAAGCATAATAATACTACGGAAAAAGAGAGAATGGATACTTAGATTTTTTTTAAATGAACGGTTTGAAAATAGAATATAATATAAAAAGATGGTAATCCCAAAAATTCCAGCAAAAAAATATCTATGGAAATATTATTTTTTTAAAAATTTGTTAGCCTGCCAAGTTGAATAGAGACGCATAATAACTTATTTGGAGACGCAGATACCGCACAATGTTGATAAGCGTGTACTGCATGTGCCCAGGGCGGCAACAAACAGAACATAACATACCATACATTATTAACGTTCGACCACCAAGAAGATATCATTTGGTAAATTGTGTCTAATATCATGTTGTAATGTTTGTAAATTTGTGCGTTTGCAGATTGTAATTGTGGTGACATTTACACAAACGATATGATACAGTACAATATATACAGTAATGTTATCTATATTTTCAGACATTGGTCATAATTTGTATTTATTTAAGGCTTTTAAAATGAAATATCAAAAATTGATTATGACGTTTTAATATTTATAAAAGTACCCCGATCTCAAGAATTATGCAATTTTCCGAATATACATGAAAATGTATTAAATCAAAGAGCTAAGCGTCTTGTATATAATCCGATTCAAATTTCTGTTAGGATAATAACACTATTGAGAATATACGTGGTCTGTGTCGTATTTTCGTCATTCAAAATAATTGTATTTTAGTCGTGTAAAGCGTAAGAGATTTCGCCCCGTGAGTGAGCGACTAGGGTAATGGCAGAACGATCTCATGTTGGTTAAGGTCGTGTTCCGATATACATTGCGAGCACTGCTCAGTGCTCTCACTGGTGAAAAATTAGTTTCGTTATTGACTGCCAGTATACTGCCGCAGTACCCTAGGGAAATATATGACGTCATAAATCGCGGCCATTTTTGTACTGTGAGCTCTGGCGCTTTCGAGGTAAGGTACTGTCAGTACATGATCACGTACTTACAGTTATTATGCAAATTCAATTGTAATAAACTCGGACATTAAGTTTTAAAAGCAACAACATTCAAATAATATTTTTTCTTATTGATCAGAAAACGTGATATATATTTTCATTTGAAAACAGTGTCGAAAAATGGGGATGATAGTATACTGGACTGCGTTCCCTTTTTAAACATTAACCAGTATAGCAAACTAAAAAGAAACGGCTTCACAGTATACTGAATTGACGTCACACCTTACAGTGGTCACAGTGTATATCGGAACACACCCTAAATTAGCTTGCTTACAGATGTAACTAGATAGTTGACTAGGAACATTGCTTAAAGTGGCCAGACGGTGATACTGTAATCACAACTCTAGGTAGATCCAATAGTGGCTATAACGGCGGAGAGAATGCTGGAGTGTCATGTTCAGCAGTGCCCTTACAGGTTGATGGAGAAGAATATATTTTTATATTGTGTGTGTGCTGAAAACTATACCAACAATATATCATAATTACCCCGAAAGTGAGAAACACTATTTTTTGTGCATAATGAAGTTCTACTTGATTGTTAAACTAATAATGACATAGCCGTTCGTACTTTTTTTATCATTTATTTAAATAACACTCAAATATATACAATATTTATTACGCTGCCTGCGTTTTCTCGCTGGATGGCTATTCTAAGCTTTTGCGCGAGAAAAGAACCAGCCCTCTTATCACTAACAGCTACGACCAGACGCGGATACCTTTGGAAACTTCACCGCACGTTTGACCCCGCTGACCGTTAGTCTCTACAGGAAGTCGCACAAATATGTAGTCATCTCTCAGAGACTCATATTTACGTTACTTAGTTCAGCTGCCTCTGATGCTGTCCCGGCGAAAGTATCATCACAGGGCGTTACCTCTCGTATAATTATTGACATTAGAATTTACAACTTATTTATTTCTGCAATTTACAATATATTTAATTTCTTAGAAATCTAGTTAATGAATACAGTGACTGGTTAAATATTATTCACTCAATTGTTTTTCAGACACAAAAACATCACTGCAAAATAACGCTATTTTTTAAAGGTGCTATCCTAACCGCATTTGAATCGGATAATAGTATAAGTTGGGTACTTTAAGTGAAATTATTACCAATTTGAAATTGATTATTTAACCAAAAATTTTCGCTGTGTTGCCTTGTAAATATAAAGCTGCTTATTTTTCATTGTTTATTCCCATAGTTTTCTTCCTTTCGAAACTGAATTAGTCACGAGTGTGTTGTTTCCAAGTTAAAGTTAACGTGAAAAGTAGGTCATATTCGTCAATAGGTTGTTTTAAAACAACGTGGAGTTGTTCAACTCTATAATAGAGTTGCAATTTTTAATTTGGCTTGTAAATTTCTTTATGCGACTTGTAATTACTTTAATTGTGATAAAATAGCTATTCAGCACGTATTTGGTAATAAATTAATCGATCTGATGTGAAAGACGTGTCAATCTTTATTATCAATATAATACAACGTGAAATTCAATTTGCAGTATCAGCAAGCACTTCAGGCAGAGAATCAACGATTGAAGGACGAGAACGGAGCGTTAATCAGAGTGATCAGCAAACTGTCCAAGTGAGGCATTTAGCACAGATACGACCGTGGTTTCAGGTGTTTAAAGAAAATTATTGTTTCCTATATACAAAAAAGGACTAAACGTTTCAAACTGCTTGTACATAATTATTGGAAACGTTGTCGCAATATAAGATGAAATTTTATCGATTTATATAACATATATATATAGCTTTGCTGTTGCATGCGAATTTGCGAAGTTTGTCGATTTGTTATTGATTTCGAGTTCCCTTTTTATAAGTTGTGCATTTTGGATTGGACATGTTACACCATGATGTACATAATTGGCAATGGTAAATGTTTATCGTATTACACTCGTCATTTATAAACCTAATTTCTGAATTATAATCACATATCATCGAACCTATTTAAATCCTAGTGTGGAGGTAACGTTTTATTTAAAATAAAAAGATAACAAAGAAGAGATATTTTTCATAGTATATAGGTATATATATAATTAATAGAATTGCAACTGCTATATTTAAAAAAAAAGCTAGGATTACAAATAAACAATATACAACACATAAATCATGTAGTAAAAGATATGTAAATGAATAATATAATAGCTGAATGATATTTTTTGTAGAGTAGCGAAAGTTGATCCTGGCCTATTATATATATAATTTGTTCCAGTCAGTTGCGCCATTCTTTTAGTATTTTCTAGTTGTTAATTTCTTAATTTATAAATCTTCTAATATATAAAAGTTGATGTTTGTTTGTTCGTATTTTATGCGCTGTCATACCGTTTGTCAGATTGCGGTAAAACTTTGTCAACTTATTATTTGCACTTGCGCGAAAGTTACAGGCTTAGTACAATTAATTTACAGTAGGTAGCGTGCTTATCGTAACGATAAATTTATTTGAAAGTTATATATCATTCAACTACAATGAATGTATTGTCATTCCTTATTAAACAATATAACTTTTCTAATTTAATACGATATTTCCACAATTATTTTTTCCGCGGCAGCATCGCACCGGGTATCAGCTAGTCTTAAATAACTTTTATAATTCTTGCCAAATATTTGGAGTGTTTATGTTTGCGTATTTCTTTTGGTTCTACACATAAATAATAATTATAAACGATTAGTTGGTATTGACAGGAACGTTGTTGACTTTTATTCCAGGCACCGACCTTTAATTTTTGTTTTGTAATTCAATTTCATCGAAAAGTTGAAAGAAATACTCATTTCATCATAAGATTAATAGAACATAATTAGCGCAATATGACAATAACTATCGAAAATATTAAACTAACCGGGCTTTATGAAAATCGTCTTTCACCTATTGGATATAAAAATATGTATTCTATTGAATTATTTTTAAAGAGCCGGAATTTCCATATTAAGGATAAAAAGTATGAAATGTACCAAGCTATCGCACCAACATTAAAACATGATATTGAATTGTTATGCTGACAAATTATGTGAATCATAATAGCTTAGTAGGTTATGGGTTCAAATCAGTTAATGGTCTTTTCTGTAGATAAATGTTCAGAAGCAGCCTGGTATCAGCAGGCCTGTCTCACTCCGCGCTGTAGGCATGAAAATATACCTACGCTGCGCGGCCACCTACATGAGGCTAATTCCGTGAGGTTGTCACGCGCGCGCTCGTGCTGACGCGCGCCTTAAGCGGCCATTACACGCCTAGGCAAGCGTCAATCATTTCGACCTATCGTGATTGATGTTTGAATGATAGAAT